ATCAACTATAATAATTTTGTTGTGGTCTCTGTCCGTCCGTCTGAAGCCGAATTCAACTCGAAGGGAAAGAGCTAGAGCTTAGCTCTCTTCAGTTCGGATAGAGCGCTGGTCAGAAACCCCCAAACTGATAAAAAAATTATGAAAAAGTTTTAGTTTAAATTATTAAAATTAACTTTGAAAGTGTTTTCCTTAGTAAAGGGGGTTGGGGACGGAGGTTGGGGTGATTTTGGACATAGTGAGCCAGGTCGCGCGCGTTTCGTGGATGAAAATTTTCACGGGGGATTTCATTTCTTTTTGCTCTCATTCCATCCGGTCGGTCGTTATTTTTGTTTTTAAGGGTTTCGGCTAGGGAGAGTATCTGAAGCCATCAAAGTATTTAGGTAGTTTTTGAGGGATTTCAGCCATGGGGAAGTATCTGACCATCAGGAAGTATTTAATTAGTTTTTTGAGGGATTTCAGCCATCGGGGGTATCTGGAAGCCATCAGGGAAGGTATTTAGGTAGTTTTTGAAGAGGATTCCCAGCCATGGGGGGGTATCTGAAGCTATCGGTATTTGGGTAGTTTTTTGAAGGGGATTTCAGCCATGGGGGGATTATCTGAAGCCATCAGGGAAGGTATTGTTAGTTTTTTGAAGGGGATTTCAGCCATGGGGGGGTATCTTTTGAAGCCATCAGGAAGGTATTTGCAGGTAGTTTTGGAAGGGGATTTCAGCCATGGGGGTATCTGAAGCCATCAGGAAGAAGATGTTAGGTAGTTTTTGAAGGGTTTCAGCCCTGAAATTTATCGAAGCCATCAGGGAAGGTATTTGGAAGAGTAGTTTGAAGGGGATTTCGGCCATGGGGGGTGTCTGAAATATCAGGAAGGTATTTAGGTAGTTTTTGAAGGGGATTTCGGCCATGGGAGTATCGGAAGCCATCAGGAAGGTATTTAGAGTAGTTTTGAAGGGATTTCACAGCCACCTTGAAGTGTCTGAGGCCATCAGGAAAGGTATTTAGTGGGTTTGAAGGATTCAACCATGGGGGAGCCTCTGAAGCCATGAGGAAGGTATTTAGGTAGTTTTGAAGGGGATTTCAGCCGTGGGGTATTGATGGAGGTGGGAATGGATGTGGTGGGGTGGGGCATGTAGGTGTGGCCCGAAGGCCAGATGGTTGCAGTCGCGAAGCATTTGTAACCATCTGGTTGCTGTGACTACCTTCGTCTTTCGGATGACCGAATGCGACTGAGAATCAGAAGCCTCATCATCAGAAGAAGCCGACGAGGAAGAAGCTGTTTCGACTACATATCGCTTAGCCGTCCGCAGCCTCGGCGCCTTGAGCACGACCTTCCGAATGCGGTCAGCCGATTCTGGGGCCTGCGTTAGGGTGACATCATTTAGGGATGAGACCTCAGGGATCGGCGGCATTTTTCAGGTAGCTACGAGGTAGAACTATCGACGGGAAGGGGATCTCAGGGGTCTCGACTGGGTGTTGGTTGGCCATTTCCCGCAACTCTTACACACCAAAAGCTGGCCGGGGGGTAGATTACGAACAGATCGTCCTGGTCTTGAGCCCCAGACTGAGCCAGAAAAACGGAAGGGCATAGTAATTAGTCAATCGGATCGGCAGATGGAAGGCGGAAGTTTTGGTACACATAGAATAACAGGGAATTTACCATGGGGCCAGAATTATCTTTCAGAATCGATTAAGTAATAAAAATGTAAGTTTTATTTAGGACTAAAATTTTTTATCTAAAGATATTTCTTGGTTCTCTACTTTTGATGCGAAATCCCGCAGCAATGTAACATCTAAAAACTTTCGAAAACCTAGTTTAAGGGATTGTGACACCCAAAGCCTTGAACTTTCGAAAGGCAGGCGTGAAGTAAAAAAATAGCGCTGGTTGCCTGGCTTGAGGTGCGTACGGAGAATGGGCTGAAAGAAAAGAGGAGATGGGGAGGATAGGGACAAATATACGCGAGAGCTAATTGCAGGAACGGCTGAAGAAGAGGACAAACAAAAGACAGCAAGACAGACAGACAGACAGACAGACACTTGCCTTTAGTCCATTCACCACCTCCATCTCTGGGATTTCATCGGAGAAGCTGGCGACGACTTTTTGGCAATCGGCGAATTGAATGATTTGACTGACGTCAGTGACGAGTTCCTTTAAAAAGTTGTGACTTTAATAGAGGGAGAGAGAGAGAGCGAGAGAGAGAGAGAGGGAGGGAGAGATTGAGAGAAAATGGTGCTAAAAAAGTCAAGGTAACAAACCCATACCATATGTGGTAATGTGTATACATGTGTACAGGGAGTTGGCGACCTTGTGGCTTTCTGAAGCGTTGACTTCAACTGCGCAACGTCAGATCCACCAGGCAGAGTGACTCTTTGGAAGGCTTCTTTCGAGGAGGAGCAGCTCGTTCTCACTAATAGAAATCGTGTCCTCGTAAGCGAGTCCCGACGGCCATAAGTAAACATCTCGGCATTGCTCGTGGATTTTGGGGAACCTGGAATTACTCTAATTGAATCGAGCTTTTTTCGTTTAGGAGATGGAGGCGACGCTACGCTCCTAATCACACTTTACGCCTGATCGAATGATCAAGAAAAAACACCCCATTTTTGACGTAAAAATGCGCTGCGATCTAATCCGATTATTGGTCTGATCTTCCACCAACTCTTTTGATGAGAGCTAAACCGTCCAGTTCCGGAGCCGCCGTTATCAGTCTGATCCGGGTTGACGCGGTGTCAGCTTTTCCGTTTTAGGTCCGTATCACGGGTTAGGTCTCCGAAATTGCGATGCCATTCATTCTTCACTACTTTACCACATGGCTTCCATGCTGGGAGACCAAAGTATTGGGTCTTGACATTGTTCCTTGTTCTTTTGGGTCTCAAATTGTTCTTGAAAGCAATTAAAAAACGGTTTTCAGACATGCGGTGGTCCTGGGTGTACTTGGTCTTGTTGCGACGGCTTTGTCAATGCCGTTTGACATCGTCAAGCCAGGAGTATGTTAATGCAGCACACCAATTTTCGCTATTAAAAATTAACTTTTTGTGAGAATCACGGTTATCGCTCGTTAGGAAGCAATTAACATACGCCATAAGTGGGGGTAGTTAATATAAGACGGCAGATGGAGATCGTTTTAATTTTTTTGACAGGATTTCGAACGAGCGAAGAAAAGTGTGGGCTTTTAAGTCACAGACTGGGCTTGGTTAAAAGGCTTTTCAAAACTGGTTGCCCATTAATGTATGTACATAATTCCAGGATCGAACGGCTTACGATGATAAACTTGCCCGGGGTATTATGTTGCCATTGCTCTGCGCGCGCATATTTCTCCCAACCCCAGTTTTGCACAACCGGAAATCTGTTCAAAGGGCTGTTGGGTTAACACCGCAGGATTAAAATTCTCTAGATTCAGCACGTCAAGTAACTACGGCTTGTGATTCAGTGTAGAAAGAAGGATACTTGCTCAGGCTTCACGGCAGTACTACCAAAATCGAAGGCCGGTGTCATCTCATTCAGGGGATGGTCCGAACAGCACGACGGCACCGGGGCCGATCAGCGAAGTATCTTCAGGGAAGGTCAAATGTGAGCTCTAAATCAAAGGATACACTGGGCAGGAGTTAACCCTGCCCGGATTCTTAAAATAACTTATGCTAATTCGGGTCAATTCACCGTCTCCCTCAACATTGTGACGATATAATGCTTTACTATTAAGCATTCACGGCTACGTGTGGGCTGCCAAGCATAGAGACGACTTCCTCCCTTTGGTCCAGAAGAACAAACCACACCCAACTTATCAACTCCACGCATATCAGAGGTAACCCAAATACATTGATTATTGTTTCCCGATCTTAAGCCGATCTTACTCTTGGTGGAGCAGTGGATCCTGGCTTGCTACCTAAATCCTACACTATTGGACTGTGAGAAGAAGGCGCTGATTCTGGCGTAAAAATCAAAATGTAAGTCATCCAAAATAAGGTTTAGGTTCCGAACTACGCAAAGGATTGAGCCGGGCTTTGGCTCCGGCCCTTCCCAAACCCGCTAATCGACATCCGCATGTTCCTCTAATAACGCTACTTTGGTTGGTCACCCTTGGACAACCGCGTACTGGTGATGCAGCCACCATTCCGTGGCATATTTCAGCGTACGAAACGTACAACAAGCGTAAAATATTTATATTTAGGAATTTACGTACACCCTGCGAATCACCCATTCTCATGATATAAATTTGGTTCCCGTCAGCCCAAAATATTGGGCTATTCGCATCATATGGGCGAGGTGAGGACATAATTTAAACGAATTGATTATTGTCTAAAAATTAAAAAATTGCAACCTTGTACATTTTAGATTTAACCTAAGCGATCTAAAACAAAACTAAGCACTAAATCTTGAATTTTAGGTGTTCTTCAAGGGAGATATGGATCAGGGAGCTACACGTTGTGTGAGGCTGATGACAGCAAGTAAGTCGTTCCGATAACTTCCACATTGACTTGTTTCCACCATAGGTCCTGCCCGGACGGAAACTAACTTGATCTGTCCATCAACGACCATCTCCCCTACTACGACAAGGATGTCTCGGGATACCTTGAAGCTGGATGCCGGAAATGGCGCGAATATTCATCCCATTCGTCCCACCACCAATGAACCCCTGCAAAATAGCCATAAATTGTATGTACCGGATTGTGAAATCACAGCGAGAAGAAAAATGATTCATATGCAAATTACCGACCAGACTACAAATCTAGGAAGTGCCTCTGCCTATGTTTCTTCGAATCTGACAGTGACATGTTGTTCGATGGAGCCTCTTCACCATGCAACCATACCTGAGGCTTAAAATTTTATAAACATAGCCATTTTAGGCTTTAAATTTTTAAATACGAAAATGGTTTATATTGAGCCCGGATTACCGTAAGAATGAACATTAGCTACTCACGTTCAGCTGATCCTCGTTCAGGCATTTTTATTAGGAAACAACTGGCCAGCAGTGCCAAATGTGTTTCTGAGCAATCGAAAGGTGGTATGGAGTGTACAGTGAGTATGTCTTGTTACAGGAAGTGTTCTTTTAGAGATCGATCCTACCCCGGCTTCTTCACATCTTCGTACAGCACTATCCCCCGTATCCGCTCCTCTCTCTACCCTCTCTCTCTCCCTCTCTCCCTCTCCTATTGCTCTTAAGCTCCAACTGACCACTTTATAGGCCACCCTGAGGAGGGTTTTCGATTTAAAGGGATGGGGAGGCTGAGGAATAGCCAGCCAGTCTGGTCGAAGTGAGAGCGGAAAAACACAGAAATAGGCGCCGGACGGCTATGAGGCCGCTGGAAGGGTATATTACACACATGACAGTTGCCGTATGTTTAGATCAGTTCATCATATAGTTGATAAGTCCGAGGGTGGTAAGACGACATCAAAATAGGAATAGCGTATTTCCTCTGTAGCAGGTCTGTGTACGGATTTTTTCCACCGTTTAGCGCTGCTAGGAGGGGCGACAACTATTCAGCCAACATGGCGAAAATAAGCCGTAAAATTGCATAAGGAGGCTTCTATTTAAGGAAATATGATCAATTAGCTAAAATAAGTGACAGAAAAACATGAATAGCTATACTAATGCAGCGAAAAATATTGTACTTTTGGGACACAAACTACCGGGTTTACTGTATCTAGATTCCCCGTTATAGATTTTTCAGATACTGACTTCCGAGAAGTGTGCGGTGAGAATAAAATTTCCTTGTGATTTTTCATTTTCCTTCCGATTTGGCGTACGCAGTGTTAACATCTTTATGAGGTCAATGACCTCGCGCCAGACTCATCTTCCCCTCTCATCTCCACGAAGCAGATATCAATTATAATAAAAAGGCAGGGTGTCTGTCCATCCGTCAGTCCGTCATGTCTCCGATTCAACTCGAAGGGGAAAAGAGCTGGAGCTTAGCTCTCTTTCAGTTCGGATAGAGCGTAGTGAGAAGCCCCAAACTGATAAAAATAGTAGAAACGTTTTAATTCAGTTTGTTAAAATTAACTTTGAAAGTTTTTCCTTAGTAAAAGGGTGGGGACGGAGGTTGGGCGGATTTTGGACATAGTGAGCCAGGTGGCGCGCGTTTCGTGAATGAAAATTTTCACGCGGGACTTCATTTCTTTTTTCTCTCATTCCATCCGGCCGGTCGTGATTTTTGTTTTTTAAAAGGATTTCGGCTAGGGAAGGTATCTAAAGCTATCAGGATGGTTTTTTGGTGAGTTTTTTGAAGGGGATTTCGGCTATAGGGGGCTATCCCAGAAGCCTTAGTGTGGGTATTGTTTGAGCGAAGCCAGGATGTGGTGGAGTAGGACATGTAGTTGTAGCCCAGAGGCCAGATGTGGTTGCGGTCGCGAAGCGGCTGTAACTATCTGTATCTTCTACACTCAGTAACGTAACTATAAAGGCAGTGGTTTTTGTCGAATATCTCGGCCAGTGTTTCCACTTATCGGGATGCTAATTTTCAGAATAGGCTTTTGAGAGCCACTTGATATCCTCTTCAAATCCGAATCAAATCCGTTCTGTGGAAAATCCGATTTTTTTGGCAAATGACGTTTTCGGCACTGTAAAACGACCATAAAGACAGTCGAAAGAAATTCGTTCAAATTCCCGAAGTGATTTCTTTACCGGAGATTTGCAAGTACAGTCATGGTTGCTAGACCGTTTTCTATTAAAAATTGTTTTCTAGCATTGATGGCAGCCCATTTTTGTGATTCGAGCCCGCCATGGGTCAGGCCACCTGATGCCTCCCATCTTGTCACCGCCTTTAAAAAATTCCGTTGTCGAACTATTCTGACCGCGTCCTTAGCTTGGTTTGGGGCTCTAGTATTTCCTCTGGTATTGGGGACCAATTGGAAACGGCACCGAAAGCAGCCTAGGTGCTCGCGTGGACAAATAGTAATGATATTTGTCACGGCGAAATTCGAACTCCAGGCTTAATTTCACAACGGCTTCAAGAAGCGGACTATATTTTTGTTTTTAAGGGAAATTATATGATGCTCTATGCCTGCCTGCTACTATATTTGCTCTTTAAAACACGTGGCAGTGGCGAAAATTGACGTCCAAGACGCCTGAAACTCAACATTATCGGGGGTGGCATCAGTGACAGCTCGGATTAACCTTAAGTTTTGTCGCTATGCTTCCCGGCCTAAATAAAAGCCATGTCAAGATTAAGAAACACGTAAACCACGATTGAATCGTAACCAGGGCCGTAGGTTCGGCTGATCAGTGGATCCGTGGAACGCCTTGGAAATCCCCGATGCAAGCTCGACTCTCTTGTGTCTTTAATTTTTGTCTCCGAATAGATGCCAGCTTATAAACATTGCGTTCAGCTGCACAATTACATGGAGCAGTCGTCTCCAAGCAGCCTAAGTCACCCTGCACGAAAATTAAGAGTTCAGCTGGGATTTAAGCAATTTCTAGTCGCCTCCGCACCTGTGAGAGATTACATTATAGAATTGCCTCCGCTTTCTTGACGTTTCAAATTGCGTTTCCAATTGGCCCACAATACTAGAGCCCCAAACCAAGCTAAGGACGCGGCCAGAATAGTGCTCCGACAAAGGAATTTTTTTAAAGAACGTTACAAGATGGGAGGCATCAGCTGGCCTGACCATGGCGGGTCGAATCACAAAAAAATGGGCTATCATTAATGCTAGAAAATAATTTTTAATAGAAAACGGTCTAGCAACCATGATTGTATTGTAAATTTGCAAAGAAACTAATTTGGGAATTTTTGAATGAATTTCTTTCGACTGCCTTTATAGTTTTTTTACAGTTTCGAAACCGACATTTGCCAAAAATCGGACTTTCCACGAACGGATTTGATTCGGATTTGTACAGGATATCAAGTGGCTCTTCAAAAGCCTATTCTGAAAATTGCATCTCGATAAGTGAAAACACCGCCGAGATATTCGACAAAAACCACTGCCTTTATAGTTATTTTACTGAGTGTATATCCCTTCAATTGGTCAAAATCATTATCACACTATCTGTGCGCTTTTCTGCGCACCGAAGTCTAGCACCGATTTTTTTTTGGAGCCTCTTGTGTGCTTTACCAGAAAGACACATGTCCTTAGATTCGGAGGGTAGAGAGACAGAGATACAGAAAGCCGACGAGGGCTCAGAGAATTAGAGAAAAAGGGAGATGAAGGACCAAGGCAAGGGCCACAGCCAGACCGTACGCTTATGACCAAATATTTGCACCTTCTTGTGTGTGTGTGTGTGAGGGTTGGGTCCGAGACTGTCCCAATGCCAGAGCTTTCCCACCCCTCCATTTCACAACGCTTACCACGGTTGAAGGTTAGATGATTCATCTAACGGTTTTAACTTTTGGTTCCCGTTCAAGTCGACTTTGTTCATTTGATCGCGTTGCGAAAGGTTTGTTTGTATGTTTGCGGGGTATATATTGGGGCTTCTCTGCTGAACTCCAATCTTATTGGAAGGTTAGAGCTTCTCCACACGATGCAGTTTTGTGAGGACTTGTCTTTAAATTTGATTTAAAGCAGTTGCCACGGCTAAAGCAGGCACTTTAAGGGTTGGGAAAGTCTTTGGCCAAACCAATTGTTCCCAAAATTAGAACATAGGTTGCTCACAATTGTCAGACCCTAAATGACCAGAATCCCAAGTTATAGCCCGTTAAGTATGACGGTCCTCGTAAAACTATTTAGATCGTGTTCCGGCTAGCCTCATTTCGCTTCATTACGTGAAAGCTTTTGTGTTTCAAAAACCTGTAAATTAGCCTAATCTGGGTTTTTTTTACTTGTTTTCAATAAAAATCTAGAAAATATTATATGAAGAAAAGAATATTCTCATAAGAACCCTATGAAAAACTCATAAAAAGTTAATTTTTTTTTATAATTCGTAAACTACTGTAGCTATTGGGCAGTAAGACATGATTGTGGTTATTTAGGATAATACAGCTATGGTCCAATTTTGGGGCCGATTGGATGCCATACGGCAAAGTGCCGGAGGGTTGCTTTTCGGAACACCCTCTATGAGTCCATTAACTTTACTTAGATCTTACACATAATAAACCTAGACCAGTTGGGCCACAGTAATTCACATTTTTCCAAAAATATCTGCCTTTCCTCACAGGTTGTGTAGAGCAACATAATCGTCATTCTCGCCAAGCCAGATACCGACAAAAATCCAGAACCATGCCTTGCCTGTTTCTTTAAAAAACGTTTTCCTGGAGCACTTAGATGCGCTAAAACTTTTTTGTTGTTTTCATTGTTGTATTTTTGTTTTCCCCTACGCCTTCCCCGTTCTGGATTGTTGACGTGTTGCTATGGGATATCCCTCCCTCCCCCCGACACCAATCACAAACGGGGTGCGGGGCTTCCGAAATTTGGTGCTGCCTGGCCACTTCCAAAATAGCCCCGGTTATGCCCTTCTGATTTGTGTTCTGCCTTTGCACGGGGCCCCACGTCTATTCCGGTGAATCACGCACGTCGGCTTTACGACCAGCTTTTTCTGGCGGGTTTAGTGCCTTCGAGTCACACCGGCACTTGCACTGATTCCACGCCTAACGACGTATCATTTTTTATCGGAGTGTGAAATCGGAGATGAACAATGCGTATTTAGCCGTCGCCGAGTGCAAGAGGAAAAGCATAAGCCGAAAAAAAATCTAGTTCCTCGGCCCAAAAACTCGTTTTCCATTCCCTGTTGAGTCTCTTTAAATTTTGGTTGCAATATACAAATTTCAGGGTGAAAAATGCCAGCAGGGGATGCGACCACCCGGAAGCCATTCAGGTTTTTTCACCAGAAGGCCTTCCACTTCCGGCAGAACAAGAAGGGACTGCTGATTGATGGTGATGAATTGGCTGAACATGCAGCAACGCCGATTATAGATACTGAACGCTTGTCGAAAGTAGGTTTTAGGAATCTTGCGGTTCATTTCAGTTCTTAAGACTTTTTATAAATATTTTAAGGCGCTCCCCCACTCCGATATTTCGGATGAGCCATCCTCTTCTTCCAGTTTTGAAGATGAATCGGAGGTTGAGAGAGAGTGAGTGCATTTTTGTACCTCCAAAATAGTTTTGTTATGTGGCAAACTAGCAACTTGCACTGTACCTTTAAAATTGCTTGGCTAGGATCCAGTTAAAAAAATTAAAAGAGTTAATTTAATTTAATTGGAATTGGTGATTTTAGCCGGTGCTGGGGGCACTGTCCCTTTAAAATGGGGTGGCGATTTTTTATATAATTCTTTGAGCAATGTTAATATTCTTATGGGCAAAATTCCATAAAATAATTTGCGTGAGTCTGTTTAGGGTTAAACAATTCTAATATCAATAAAAGATATTTAGCTTTTTCGAACGGGCGCTTTTCAAGCTAGTATCCATTTGCCAAGTTCCACTTCTCAAACCCTTTAAAAAAGCAAAATCCTATTTTCCCATCCCGGGCACATAATGATGGGAGTTGCAACTGGGGAATTGGGCGAAGACCTGCGATGAATGGGGTGATGTGAAAGACTGTTCATTGACTTGTGGCGTAGTATCCCCCCCCGTTTTATCAAAAAGTGCCTTGCTGCCCCCCCTGTATTGGATCCCTCGCGGCAGTGTCTGTTCCCTCCCTCTAATATCTTCTATTTTCCGTTCGCTATATTTTTGGTGTGTCTGGCGTGACCCCTGCCCTATCGGAAGGACGGGGAGGGAGAGAGACAACACTAGTACCTCGCCCGGACCCCCTTGATACTTTGATACGAACGCCTGCTCGTATTTCTATTAGCTTGAATTTGGGATTTCGAGTCTTGAAAAGCTGTAAACATGTCGAAAAAGGCAAGGGCAATTTGCATTGATGATTTTATGGCCAGGTGAGGATGGGGGAAGCTAGGGTGTCCAAAGCAACCCCTTTAACTCGGTCGATAGGGTCCATATCGGCATGATAGTTATACAAATCGAAGGTCATTAAAACGACGAATTTCCAATAATTTTCATAGCCATATTTTTATTAAACGGGAATATTTAGCAGCTATTTGGTAAATTTTTCTGGCGTTTCCTGGCTGCTAGTTTGGCTCAAGGTCTCCACAAGGAACATTCCGATTTGACCCTTCTCCTTCGAGTTAAAAAGGATGTTTTTGGACATCCTCTCTATTGTGTACTAAAAAAGCTTTGAATTAGTTAAATTTTAGGCAACTCGCCGAGCGCACAGACATTTTGGAATGCGCCTGGCATAAGCGGCAAGAGGAGGGCGGAGAGGAAGAGGATGAGGATCATCAGAAACCGATCGTCGATCAGGCACAGTTGGATGCTGAGGTAGGTTGAGATTTAAACAAATTATTTAAAAAATTTTGATCTGGATTAGATGCATTCTTATTCTAATTTTACAGGCTGACGCAGAAGATGCCAGGATGCGGGCGAGACGGGTGAAGACTTTTTCGACTTCGGATGGCTGGGCGACGAGGGAACGAGCGCCAAATGAGTTTGAACATGTGCGTTTTGAAAAGCTAAATTGTGTCTCTCTAGTGATCCATCAAGCACGTAACAATGTTTATTTAGATCTCCCGTTGGCGTGCACTAACCGTCTACCTGACTTGGGTGGTGCTGATCATGTTCGCCTACGTCAGGGAATTTCTTCGGAACTGGGGCATCGAAACAAGCCACATTAAGGTCGAGCTGGACAAGCAAAAGGTGAGAGCCTTCACTTTAAATCATCTCAATATGTCCATCTGCAGCAATTCACCCCACTCTTCGATGATTTTGCCGCGGTCTACCAAAGAAATTGCTATGTGCGAGTTCGAGACGTTTTCGAGCGTCCGATTGGCAGCGTGCCTGGAGCTACCGTAAATTTGAGTTTACGTTTTAAATGTTTAAATTCAGGTGAACCTTCTCGACCGCTACACTGACGATGGTGGCTGGACATTCAAGTAAGTTTAATTTTGGCCCCTTTCGTTTACTTTGTGCATTGCTCGCTCGGTGTTTCATCACTGATTTTGCACTTCCGAACTCGCGACTGGACTGGGAAGACAGCTATTTTTGGGGGGATTTCCTTGACGGGTGACCTGTCAAAACGAGCCGTAGTTTTGCAGCTATTGATAAGCCCTGCCCGGTTTCCTGTCAAACGGTCTGAGATACTAATAAAAAATAAAGGGGAAGACAAGTACGGTCTAGGATTATGTTGTCATTTAGGATGAAGGGCACCCAGTCAAACGTCATCAACGTCGGATCGTACAATTATTTGGGATTTGCGCAGAATGAAGGTCGGTTTAAGGGCATGTAAAGTAAAGGTTTATTTCGCACAGCCACCACC